TCTAGGGTCGGAAGCCGGACCGGAGTGTTGATCGTTACACAGCTTCATTCTGACTCTGTTTCGATCCCACAAAAGGATGGGCCGTCAGTAAGGATCCTTTACTCATTCATCTTGGTTCTTATCTTGTAATCCAGCAAGGGCGTCACAAAAAGGATCCAGTCACATCTCGATAGGTATGGACGGTTGGGCCGAGTACTGGTATAATTGATACAGAGAGAGCCGTCAGCTGCTTGCCGGCTGCTTACCGGTTGGTTGTCTAGAACCAAGCAGAGGCAGGCAGAGAGAAGTCGATGGCTTACCAGCTTGATCCGTTCGTCTGCAAAGGAACCCCAATCTGATTCCCGCAGTGAAAAATGGTCAATTATTAATAATCAGACGAGGTCAACGCTGACATGACGCAAATATACACCCACGAAGAGCCTGTATTGGTTTCATGACAACAACGAGCATCAGACCATCAGTGACCATCAGATTAGGGTGCTACCGTAGTGACCGGAGACATCCACACTCACCTCAACTCTCCAAGGACAAAATCACGGGATTCAAACGGCGGCATCAGCATTCAAAGTACAGGCAACTCAGTATGGAGAACAGACATTGACATCTAAACACAGGCCTAGTCACATGAAGGAGAGTGTGTCAGAACAATCAACACAGGCGCTAGAGATTTCGGAATCAACATCAATAACCGGCAGCAAGACGACGTTTCGATCAAAGAAAAAGACCCCGCATTATTTTCCCGTTGCCCAACCGAACGATCAAGTACCCGTTTCGTTGCGACCGACCATTATCTCAGGATATCACCATGCGTCGTCAACAGCATATCATGCCCAAACTGCCCACTGCCAAAGTCTTCAATGGTTGTTGAGATAACGACCCATGGGCGAATTAGGGTCCAACATGAGCCTCAAATGGGGCGGGTTATCCTTGTGCAAGCAATTGCCGCAGACCTTGGGACTACAGCTCAGGATTAGTCGCTTGAACATCTTGCCGAAGTATAGAAACAGCAAAGACTTACGACTCCTCGAATTCCAAGATCTGAGGCTCACACTTGGCGATTTTGCCATACGTCTTAAACTTGTCGCAGTTCTTGGTTGAGATCCATCGGAGATGGCCGCATCCGAGATACTCTCTCTGGTCATGGTTAGCACACGGTTACCGAAATGTTCGCTTGCGATGGTTGAGAAGCGCGACATTGGTCAAGAAAAGGAGGGGCAGGACATCATCGAGTCAATAAGAGTGATTCGGAAAGCCAGGATGTGATATCACAAAGAGTAGCAAAGACCAACCACGACGTCAACTCGCTGAGCAAAAGGGAATACAAGAGGACAAGGACAAGCAGAGCGATGCAACGCCGAAGAAGACCAAGGGAAACAACATGATGGTGTTGAAAAGGACCACCAAATCAAAATACCAATCGCGAAAGAACAAGCAAAACGAAACGAAGAGAAGACAGAGCAGCATTTGACCACCTTACCTGCTTGTATTCACACATCGTTTTCGGATTGAGGGTGGTTTGTGTGGGAGAAGTGGCTTTCGAGTAACTTGCTGTTGCTTTGGTTGCGGGGCACTGTTGACGGTCGGTCTTCAGAGTAGAGTTGGGCACAAAGTCGAGAGTGAAGGTAAAGGCGGTGTTGAGAGGCGGCTCTGAGGGGTGGCTGTTAAGGCGACAAGGCAAAGCTGGCGGTGGGAAGCAATTGACCCCTAAAAGAGCACTGGAAGGAAAGGGCGACAAGAGGCCCGACTGCTTTACGATCCTTTACACTGTCACAGCCGGACGGGTCCCTCCATATTTATCTTGATCGTTGCGGTGGACGTAAAAGAGGGGTCGCAAGAAGGCGTCAGGATGGCTACAGTATTTCTTTTTCCGCCGAGACAGCGGGTAGCTTCCTGTTGGTAGACAATTAACAGAAAAAGCAACAGGATTCAGAACAAAACTTGGACTCGAGACAATCCAGTCGATATGTGATGAAACCTTTTATTCTTGCCCACCCAATGACACTTGGTAGTATCACAAAGTTGACTGAGACTTTAAGTCGATCAGGTCGTCTGGCCACGCCACCATGACCACACGCAGAAGGAAACAGACATACTCTTCGGGCCGTTAGAAACCAGTCACGGCAAACTCCTTTTCCGATATCACTCACACCGGTTCACGTTGCTTTTTCTGGGCTGAAGTGACTGGCCAAGGATGGCAGTCAAGTGCACACATATTGCATGTGCTGTCTTGGTCTCTTAGGGCGATCCACGCCCGTAAGGACAAATAGCAACAGTTAGCTTGGTTGTATTTCGGACAGGTCATCAGGATGGTTCACCGCGCGTACACCTTCCTTACCCCGTCGAGCTCTGAGTCGTTCGCCGCTAAGACGGGCTACAAGACATGGCGTTCTAGGTCTTAAAGTGCTCGGACGCAAACCTCCTGCCTTGTCGCTTGCTCGCCACCTGACCCTTCTGGACTCGCATGTTCGAATGAGCGGTGGCTTTGTGCTCCCTTTTCTTTCCAGTCAGGAGATTCAAGCTGCCTGCAAGTAGGCCAGCACGTGAAGGGTTTGCGGTTGCGGTGCTACACTGTCACGGCTGTCATCCGTCAGAGCAAGGCAAGTGTTGCACAAGGCACAAGGCACAAGCCGAAAGGAATTCTAGCATGGCTACGGTAAAGCAACGTTGTCTTCTCCTGTTTCTTTGACCCTGCAAGTTCAAAGGTTGAGAACCTTGTGTGATGATGATCGATCAACGATCTGCTGATCTGCTGATCTGTGCGCACTGAACACAGTGCTGCTAGCTATCTTATTCCTACTCACAGATTTTTTACGATCGGGATCTCAATTTGAGTCCCCATCACATCTCTTCCTCACTTGACTCGCTCTTGCTCTCAGTTCGACGCATACAATGTCAAAGAACCCGAGAACTCATGCTCAGCAACTGCCTTGACCTCGGGCAACACCAGGGACAAGGGCAATGTCATCTATCTTGAAAGGCGCTACTGCGTGGAATCACCTGGACAAGACCTTCCAGAAGGTTTGCCTTGTACAACCCTCATGTACGATGCATCTGTTCCGACGAAAAACCCTTGATCTTCATCACAGGGCGGATAGGTAGGTTTAAATCGTGGAGGAGGACATGGGTGAGAGATGCAGCGGGTAGCAGCAGCAGCAGCAGCAGCAGCAGCAGCGGCGGCAGGACCGGGTGGTGACCATGTGGTGCACCTTCATGTTGTGGAAATCTGGAGGCATAAATGTATCGCTACATCGGATACGATTCTCACACGCCTAGGCAATTGCTGACCGATAGACTCAACTCTGATCCACAAATCAATGATGATGACTATTCCGTTCGATCTTCTTGGCGAAGCTTGAACCTCGCACTCTGAGATCCTATAAAAGATTTGATGTCTTGCCAGTTGCTGGTGATACCTACCTATATTGGGAGGTCGTGCAAGATTTCGTCAGCAGTTTGCCTATGAAATTGTCCTCAGTCGATCAGATAACTGCCTACCTTGGGCAAGATGACGAGGTAAGATGGTCTTACAGAGACAACCCGGGATGAGGTTCACAGGGTCAGCATCCTCATCGGATTGCTCATCTCTCAACTACCTGCGTCTGCTCACATACCTAGATAGGTTGCATGTACTACCTGCCAAGAACCTCACCGTTGCTCATCAGTCCGCAACCATTTCTCAGGCAGGGCTTACTACCTGCCTGCCAAGAGACTCACCGCGTTGGCATTCGAGTTTTCTTCTCATATACTGTGAGTAGGCGTGTAACGCTTGGCAGGTGCGTCGTGTATGTTGTGTAAAGAGAGAAAATACCGAGTACCGTCTTGGCGGTGCTCTTTTTGTTGTGTTTGTCACGCTGTGAGGAGGTTACCTAGGTACCTAGGTGGGTAGGCTTGCGATGTGATGAGTCTTTTATAGCGAAAGGCTTGCGTATGTTGATTCACTCCAGATGTTTTGAGTGATAAAAGTAGGCGCTATAAGGATAGGCCACGAAGTCAAGAGGTAAAGTATACGTGTCTTGAGGATCCAATAAGAGATATCAGAAGTGAGAATGGTATTGAGCCCTCTATCTGATACTCGCTGTAATCTGTGCTGGGCAGTTAAAGAACGCCGTCCGGCTCGACAGCGCCCATGTGCAATGTACGCTTGCTTCTGCTTCTATAATGTCTAATAAAGGCCTGGGCTTGTTCACTGTTTCTTCCTTCCCCAGAAGTGGCTGTGATCTACTAGCTGGGTACCTTACCTTCAGGAATCTGTTTTGATAATTGTAACAACTGATCAAGATCTTCAGCTTTCCAAGGACTCGGGAAAAGAAAGGGAGGCTATGAGTAATAGCCAGTCTCATTCCCACGATATAGTGATACCTATGGTTATCGATAGTCCATGTAGGTCACCACTTGTAGGGCGCTCTAAAGGTCCCCTAAACAACTTAGGGCAGCGACAGATAGTGAAGAGCTAAAACGGGCTGACTAAAAGCCCCAGAACTTGATCATCTCTGAAGGACGTTGCCTCCATAGTCTCGGAAGGAGTTGACTCCAACGATGGCTTATGAACTGGGAGTGGCGCCGTGGACAAGACAAAGACTGGCTTGTATTTCAAGAAAGACCGCATTTCACCTCTGTAGAGAAGCTACTTGCCAAGCGTCTGCAACGCAGCGACACTTGGGTTGTACAACAGAGCTTCGTGAGGTCTTTGACTGTGAAAACAACACTATACTGTCTCTCAAGATATCTCCACAATTAGGTAGGTATAAAACTTTTGCAATGAGATGCTGTTTCTGCGTACTCTAGCTGGGAAAGTATACTCCAAACAGTCAACAACATATAGACTCTTGAGAAGACGACCAAGGTCTCTTAGAAACTCATCTCTCACAAGTAGGTACTATGACACAAAATGACGACCCTAACATCTACCAGAGTAAAACGTATGCGCAGATAACAGGCAGAACAGAAGAGAAACCTTAGTTGAAAAAAAGTATACATGATAGGTGAAGAAAGAAAAAGAATGGGAACTGTGAGGCTCGAACTCACGACCTCAGGATAACTCTGATGTTGTACATTCAGATCATATTTTTCTTGTCCTGGAGAGACAATCTTCATATGAGACCTGCGCTCTTCCAACTGAGCCAAGCTCCCTGTTTTCCTTTGTTGTTGACTTTCACTCCCGTAAACTGACCAGATGAACAGAAGGCATACCACCCCTTGAGCCAGTAAATTCCCCTCTGGACCCAGCGGACCCTTTCGCTCCCAAGAACCGAGGTGGAGATTCGGGCATGTATGATCCAGGATAGCGCCTCTTGTCCGGCCAGCACTTGACAAAAACCTCTTGGCTTTGACAGCGAAGAGGCCCTGGTCCCGTGGTTGGCAGCAAGTTGGTCACAGCTTCTGAATTTTGACGCACATCTTGATGAATGCTTGACCGAATCCCAGGAGGTTACGTGGTCGCGTGACGCTGCATTTTGCTTCCTTGCTTGTGGGGGACAGAAACAACCCACAACACCACCATTGAAGAACCCTTCAGACCCCACGTGCTGGCCATCACGGTCTTGATAGGCTCTAAGCTGAATCTGATCTTCCCCAAAGCTTCCAGAACTTCCAGAAAACCGGGAAACCCCACCTGCTGTTTCTTGCTGCTCTGCATGAAGGCTGGACCCTGGTCTTGACGTGTGATGACCCATGAGGTGTACAGGAGTTGTACGTAAACAAACTTCCATGTATCAGCACAAAAAAATCCCATCATGACTAATCGGCTCTTTCCAGGTTCATGATGTTACGTACTGTGGGGATGGGCAAGGGATCAAGAAAACAACCGGACAGAGCCTGCCAAGGTGTCAAAACCCGGTACCGTGCCCCCACATTATTCCCGGCTTCGGGGGTGGTTGAACATTCATCATGCGATCATCTCGGGGCCCCGAAAATTACCTGGTCCGTGTTGGACTGCATCTGCCGTGTGGGGCTACTCAGAACGCCGCCGGGAGAAGCTCGCTCGCTCGTTCGGCGGTTCGGTCGGGCCCTCCACGGGATCGCGGTAGCGGCGGCGTAAAATGATAGGTAATACAATCTGTTCTGCCGTGCGGATATCAGTGAGGTGGAAACCCCGCTCAAAGTCTCCAAGTCTCCAAAGACAGGAGGATTTGGGTGGATAGAACCCAAGAACCTTGACCTTATTGCTGCTTGTTGTTGGCAATCAGTACAATAGCGCACAAGCTCCACCTTTTCATACTGGAATTGTAGCAGAGAACCCAAGAATTCCCTCTAGAAAAGAAGTAACGTGAATCGTGGCTTTTCTGCTTCGCTTTCCACAGAAGGGCCGGATGATAGAAATCGATTTCAACGCTCCACGTAGTTGATCATAGACAACAGACAGCACCGGCGGACCGGCAAACACGGCACAACGGGAATAACAAAAGTGGCACAACCTCCAACCTAAAATCCTGTCTTGGGAATCAGCAGCTGTCGGAAGCTTGTTGGGCCCCCTCGCGTCATCATCTTCAGCCACTCATCGGCCGTCTGGAGCGGTACCAAGCGCGTTCTTTGAATGTTTGGGGTGGGGTGAACCTACTTGCTGTGAAGGGGCAGGGAGCAGATGTCAGCCGGCTCCGGGTCGGGCAAAGTGGGTGTACCATCCGCCCCGTGACCGCCTTGCTCGAGCATCCGAGCAAGAGCATTCGGGTCATCTATCTCCATGTGAAAGTTTGGTTGCTGTGAAGATTCGTCTCTAGTGACATCTTGATCTTCTCGACAAACTGGAATGTCAAGGAAGAAGGGGTCCTGATTCATTGTCTTGGCTTCACCGCCAAGCGACGGAATACCGATGCCAAGTCGTTCACAGCGTTCCCATTCGGCTGCAGGTACCGAACGCTTCGATCAAGTGTGAAAGTTTACCATTCTTTGTATTTATTGGCGCTGGTTTGGTTACTGTAAAAGGGAAAAGCCGGATAATGTCAAAGAAGGTGACAAGCTGACAGCCAACAATGGTAAAGTATTCGGTACTTGAGGCCCTGACCAGCTAATATCCGGAGATGGACCAGAGCAGTGGATGTGGTTAGCGATTAGAGATTAGCGTGTCCCTAAACACATGCAAATACATGCGTGAGGGATTTTCATGTTTTACCATCATGTGCTGGGTGGGCTAGCTAGGCTTCAAATCGCTGATCTCAGACCATGGCTCTGGTCAAAATGGGTAAAGCTAGAGAGCTGAAAGCCGCTGTGAAACGCTTGTTTCCCTTCGCTGTCTGAGATGGTAGAGCCAATCATCCTCTCGTTCGGAATAGAGTCCCGTCAGGAGTGTTATAGGAAACAAAGCTGCTCTGTAGACGACACTTGTATAATGTCTCGTGGAGAATAGCTGGGTTTAGCATTGCCAAGAAACTTAGCCCAAGAAGGCAGGCTCGCACGAGAAGCCCTCTGGCACCTTTTCGTCATTGGTCTCCACAATCCTCCAACCAGAAGATTGGACTTGTTGATCGAATATTTTTCTGTGGAAAGGCGCAAGTACACCTCCACACCTCCACCTCCATGCGGTGGAGCGGCATTCACACCGCTCCTCCAACCCAACATGGCGGAATGTAGACCACACCTCCATCTCCTTTCCGTGCCCACATTTCCACCCTCTCGCCTTTCTCATGCTCTGGTTCGTGCTCGGTAACAAATGGCTGATCAGAAAGACTTTGTGCACCCTGAGGGCGGGGAAGAAGAATTAAGCAAGGAAGCATAATATCGCGGACACAGCAGGACACATCCGTGCCGCGTGATTATGCAGTCTGTGACGAGGTTTTGGCAATATTGCTTCCAATTGACAGCAGCTTATTGGTGATTTGGCTTCGCAGAGTTCAGTTGAACGACCCTTAGCATTGAGCATCGACTGCCGTGATGTCCCAACCCTGCCCGATATGGACAAGGACGTCGTTGAAGAGCGGGGAAACAAGCAACGGGGGGCCCAAACAAGCCTTGCTTGGCATCGCCTTGCGAGGGATCAATCCCTGGCGGAGACGGGCATGATGGCAGCTGACCTGACACCCGACGAGAAGGACGAGAAAGAGGAGGATGACACCAGTCAACCTTCTAGGATCGGTGAGGGTTTGCCCTCTGCCTCACGATCGAGCATATCGACTCCAAACCGAGACAGACGAGGCGTAGCAAGAAGCATGCCCAGACGGGAGATCGAAACGCCAAGACGGCCAGACAAGCTTGTGAGCCCATCTCGACCTATCCAAGCTGGTCGATGTGCTGCTTGTGTTGCTGGACTGCCGCGACCCTGCACAACACCGATCTAAGCTGGGGGAAGAATAGAAGCAAACTGCGTATGCCGCGACACTTGCCAAGGAAGTCTGCCCCTCTCGAGTGCATGTATTCACACCCGGACTCTTCCGGTCTACCACGCGGCAGATTTGTGGACGGCGTGACGGTTGTCGGCGATGGTGCTGGCTGACAGGACCGGAGATGTTGCTTCTCAGGACTAGGTGTGCGCGTGTGTGGCTGCCAAGCCCCTCTCATTCTTCAGGAAAAAGGCGTCCGAATTTAGCAAGATATGGTAATAATATTTGGCACAGCTGCACGGCCGGCAGGTTGGTTGGCTTGCGGTTGAGTGTCGTTACACCTGGTGTCCTTTTGGGAATGTTGCAGCTAAAGTGCATCACAAGCGAGCCAGTTGAAGGGAAATCATGGAGAGGAACGTGGGGGAGCGATAACAGGCTCCACTTGCTCTCGGAAAATCGAACGACATTTTCTTGGTGACGGCTTTCCGTTTTGGATCAGCCGAAAGCCCCCAATGGCTGAGCCCCTGAGCATGAAGAACTCAAGTTTGGTCGAAGAAGAGTCGTGTATTGGATCACAAGTCGTCAGTTGTATCCGGCTTGGAGTGTACGTACTGTGGCAAGGTTCGGGGATGGCTTGTGCGTCCAGCCGGTGCAGATATCGAAAAAGCAACTGGTTACGGGTGCCGAAGGGAGGGCCGTACGGAAAACACCCGGTGACGAACGCCGAGCCCTTGGCAACGGCTTGATGCGTTTGAGTACCTTACATGCCATGAGAGCGCCAGATAGCCACCGGGTTGTGTACCAGACTTACGAAATATATACTTGTGTGGCCGGACTTGTGTGGGTTTGTGTTGTCTCCTTCTTGCGTCATTATCTTCGGGCAGAGACACGGGCGATTTTCATCGTTGAAGAAATCCCAGAAGGCTGGATATCTTAGGTAAGCCCCAACGTCAACTAAGACCTGAATCTGGTTAACCGGGGCCCCACTGTGGTGTACGACGATAAAGCGCCCCCATCCATCCGACAACACACCGGCCAGTTTTAAGTGAGAATCTAGATTCCTGACGGGCTGAGAAAGGCTGCACAATGTAACCCGTCTGTTCCTGAACTACAATCTGCCGTTTCCCGTGTGACGGGTTTCTTGGAAAAAGGAGGCTGAACTTTATTCTCACAGTCGGCCTTGCGGGACCTGTTGGGAAAGATACCTGGTAGCATGGGTAGTGCCAATGTCGCGTGCTGACTTGCCCTGAGAATAAGACAATCCACATTCAGTGCCATGACACAAGACAATGACGCCCCAGAATCCCTTGATTGCAACATTGAGCATTCTTTTTCTGCCGGAGCGATAACAAGTTACAATTGCAGAGATGATGCAATTCCGCCACGAGATTTCGGTTGATTACTCTTTGCCATCAACATGCAACCTAGAGACCAGCCCTTTTTAACCATCCTCTTGAAGGAGGGAGCCATCAGCCTTGCCCTAGTGCATCCTAGCACGATGCAATGGTAGTGAAAGCGGGGTATCTATTCCCATCCCCGCGGAGTGAGAGAGTCCATCACGCCCTGGACATAAAAACTGGCACTGCAAAGGGGGAATACAGTATTGAAAGATAGCTAATAGGCCTTAAAATATAGTTAATAGGCCTTGAAAGATATTAAGAATACTTTAAAAGATACTTTTACCGTATTAAAAGATGGTAATACGCCCAAAGAAGATAGTTAATAGGCCTTTTCTACTGTTTGACTTGCAGTACCAATTATTTTGTCCACGACGTGTCCATCTGGCTGCACGTCTGTTGAGCCGTGGACACAACACCAGGCGATGACGCAGTGAGCCTTATAAAGGTCTCAGTTCCCTGGCAGGGGTTGGCTTGGAAA